GGGGCCAGGTATGTTTTGCTCCTGCTCTGTTTATGAGTTTGCAGCTTTCATGTGGTCCACGTACTTGTTCAGGTCGACCTCACCTACCCGAACTTTGTACGTCATGGGACCTGACCTCACGTTGACCATTCCTCTGACCTGTGCAGGCCCATTTCTGTATTTTCAGTACCAAACTTCGATCCCCTGAAGTAAACTGTCTCTCTCACTTAGCAGCGTCCTGTGTCCAGCATGGGTATTCCTGATGCCATTTCACCCTCACGCCCAGGTCCGGGAAGATCAGATTTAACCTGGTGTAGAGTCTTCTCCCTGTTAGCAACTCAGCTGGTGCTATGCCTGTAGTTGCATGAGGGGTGGTCTGATATTCAAATAGGAACCAGGACGGTTTGGTATTAAGTGAAGTTGTAGGCTGTTTCCTTCAACCTGCCTTCAAAGTTTGGACTGCTCTTTCAGCCAGACCATTGGATGATGGATGGTATGGAGCTGTCCTTATATGCTGAATGCCATTTGACTTTTGGAGAAACTCGCAAACCCAGCTGGTAAGTGATGTCCCGTTATCTGTGACCAACACTCCCGGGAGACTGTGTACTGCAAAAGATGCTCACAGCTTTTTTATTGTCATCCCCGTGTTTGGCAATTGTACTCTATGCATGTTCAGCCTTTGAGTGGGCATCCACAATGACTAAGAGCGCTGAGTCCTTTGAGTCCATGATACAGCTGGCATAGTCGACCTGTAACCGAGTCTAGGTTTTACCCAGGTTTTACAAATGTGGGCAAGCTGCGGGCAATAATTTTTGTCCTTGGCACTCTGGGCGCTGCCCCACAAATGCAGCTATGTCTGCATCCAATCCTGGCCACCAGACATAACCTCTCACCAACATCTTCATTTTAGACTCCACTGGAGAGATGACCCTGGTGGAGTTCAGTCAGTATCTGGCAGAGAACTTTGCTTGGGACAGTCACTCTTGCTCCTGTAATAATACGCCACCCTCTACAGTATTCTGGTCTTGCTGGGTCCAGAAAGGTTTCAATTCTGGTTGTGGCAGCCCTTTAGTTTCCCCCATCACTGTTCCAGTTTTACTGGGACCGGATCTTTTTGCATCCACAGTCTAATATTGTCATCGGTGACCAGAAGGGTGTCCAGAAAGTTTAAAACAAGATCAGACACTTCCAGTAGCAGCACCAGCGGTGGTGTATCTGCCAGTGGGAGGTGGCTCAAAGCATTCACATTTGCTACTTGGCCTCCTGGACCGTGTTCCAATTTGTAAATGTACGCACTTAGTATTAGAACCCATTGCTGAATTCGACCTGAAGCTACAGCCAGCACTGCCTTGCCCTCTTTGAGTAGTCCTAGCAGGGGTTTGTCGTCCATTATTATTACTAATTCACGTCTGTAAACGTATTGGTGGAACTTTACCACAGAAAAGGTGACCTCCAAACCTTCCTTCTCTATCTGGATGTATTTGCATTCTGCATCACCCAAAGTCTGGAAAGCATACGCCTGTTGGGCATTCCTCTCCATTGGACGATCTGTGAGCCAACACTACCCTGATACTGTATGGAGAAGCATCGCATGTCAGCACCAGATCTTGCCTGGGGTCATAGTGTGCCAACACGAGATGATTATAGTTGTTTCTTCATTTCCTTGAATGGCTACATCTTGGCTATGAGAATATTACCAAGGCTGCCCCTTTTTCAATAGTAAGTGCCAAGATGGAGGCCAAGTTATATAACATATTTCCATAATAATTCACCAATCCAAGGAAAGTCCCTAAGCTCCTGTATGGATGTGGGAGCCAGGACACCTTTGATCATCCTCACTTTATCTTCCAACAGGTGTAATCTGGTCATCTCGACTCTGTAACCCAAGTAGGTCATTTAGCGTGCCTAGAACAAACATTTTTCTCTTCTAAGGTGTACAGCACCTTGGAGAAATGTCTAAGGACTATGTCCAAGTTCACTAAGTGCTCTTTATTGATCTTCCCTGTTATTAGTAGGTCATCCAGGTAAATGGCGACACAGGGTAGACCTTGTAAAATGTTCTTCAATGTCTGCTGGAAAATGGCACAGGCTGATGATACCCTAGCTGGCAGTCACATATATTGGTACAAACCCTTATGGGTATTAAATGTAGCATACTTCTGGGAATCCTCATCCAACCACAATTGCAAGCTCATGTTCAGCTTTGTGACCCCCCCCCCCTCCCCCTGCCAGCTTTACATATAAGTCCTCTATGCGAGGGATTGGGTATTTATCCAGCTGCAAAAGGCAGTTTACTGTTTGTTTAACGTTCCCACAAAGACAAACCCACCTGTTGAGCTTCACAATCGGTACAACCGGTGCTGCCCATTCCACAAACTGAACCGGTTTGGTAATTCCTTCGCTTTCCAGCCTCCTGATTCCTGCCTCTACTTCTGCACAAAGGCAAATGGCACTGTGCAGGCCTTGCAGAATCGTGGAATTGCTTCCTGGTCATCATGCAAGATGGCCTTGGCTCCTTTGATAGTCCCTAGACCTTCCTGGCAAACTCTAGGTATTTAATTAGGACTTCACTCAGGCAGTCATTTTCTAATTGAAAAATGCTGAGCCAATCTAGGTAAATCTTTCCAATGAAGTTTGCCCCATTGAGCTTGGCCCCAAGCCTTTTACTACAATCAGTGGTAACTGAACCACAGTTTCTCATAAGAGACTGGAACTGAAGTTTAACCCTTAATCTGTAGACGTTCCTCGGTATAGATTCTCAGTCTAGCTGAAGTCTTACACAAAATTGAGGTACAGTCCAGAGCGAATTTTGTCAAAGACTGGTTCTGTAATCACTGCAGAAACGGGTGACCACTTAACTAGGTGTTTATTTTAACTGGTTCTGATTTGGACATTGCTAAGCAATTTAACTGTTCCAAGGCAGATGTAAGTGGCCTTTCCAATTCAGGTCTAGTGGGACTCATTTTGTTGTCTCGAGTCCACATACCAGCAGCAACTACAATGGCCTTCTGGCCTAGATCCTGAAGAAAATGTTAACTGTTTGGCCAAAGCTTGGCTTTGTTTTGGGGTTTTGCAGTGGGCTGACCTAGAGTTCCTCTGTTCAGGATATGTCCTGAGTGAGGCTATGGAATTGCCTTCACTCAAGTGGTGTTCCCCAAACTCAGTCAGACTGGTGAGGGTATCCACTCCCATCAGAACATCCTGTCACTCATATGCTCCACTTGCCACATTTTCTGATGACAAAGCCAGTTGTAATGCCTGTTTGAAGTCCAGTTGGGATTCAGCTAGTAGGTGCTTTTGCATGGTTACATCATTAATCCCACATATCTAACAGTATCTCAACATCTTGTTGAGGGTCGTCTTAACCTTGTCAAAATCCCGATATGATTCCCCTGGTTATCGAACTGCCGAGTAAAACTGATAGTTTCTCAGAATTAGAGGAGGCTTGGGGTCGTAATATTCCTTAACCAAATCCGCCAATTCTTTAAAGTTTTTAGTATCTGGTGCCTCAGTTAACGTTAGGGTCATAATAACTGAAAAAGCTGTGGGTCCACAAGCTGCCAGGAGAATTACTCATCGGTTTTCATCTGCCCCAATGTCATTTGCCCAGAAAAAATAATGCGGGATTGAATGAGTCAAGCCTCCCAAGTAATAGCATCATGCCATAAATGCTTACCTCCAACTCAAAGATGACTGTTAAGAGCAAATTTCTTCAGGAGCGTATGTTTTCTCTCATCACAACTGAAATAACTCCACAGAGGCCAGTATCCTGCCACCAAGTCGCCCTTTATTTACACATGTATAGTACCTGACACTAAGAGTATGCTTCCTCAGAGCCAGCTCTCAGAGTGAACAGAACATCTGATGCTCCTGTCAGCTAGGGCTCCCTGATTGGGACCAGATGAACAGCTCCAATCATGAGGTCCACCTGGCTGACCTTGTTACAATCCTACAGACACACTGTATGGCGGGACTTCTGGAAATACAGAGGATCAAAAGGACTGTGGTGTTCATGTCCATAGAAGGTTAGGCAAGATACTGAGTACAAGAGCAAAGGAGTTTTATATATATAATGTTAGTTAGGTCACAGCTAGAGTACTGTATGCAGTTCTGGCCACCACACTATAGGAATAATATGATGCACTGAAGAGAGTGCTGAGGAGATTGATCAGGATGTTGCCTAGGATACAGCGTTTCAGCTAAGAAGAGAGACTAGATAGGCTGGGATTGCTTTCCTTAGAGCAGAGAAGGCTGAGAAGGGACCTGACTGAGGTGTACTAAGTTATGAGGGACACGCACACAGCAGATAGAGAGAAACTTTTCCCCTTTGTACATTAGAAGACTATAGTTAGTAAATACCTTGATGTTGGGTTTTAAGAAGTTCGGCTTCCCCACTCTGCTAGAAATAGACATTAGGGAAAATCTTGGAAAAATTTAGGACCAGAAATTGGGTAGTTTTACCAGAATTTGTTGAACCTAATTTCAATTTTGAAGCGTTCATATCAACACTATATCAAAGGCCTGGGATTTTGTATGCTCAGTAACTAGGGGACATCATTTCAATTAAGGAATAGGAGGGTTACAGGAGATTTGAGGAAGAAAGTTTTTCACTCACAGGGTGGTGGGTATCTGGAACGCACTATCTGAAAGAGTGGTAGGGGTATGAATCATCAAAACACTGAAGAATTATTTGGAAGTGCACTTATATGCCGTAATATACAAGGCTATGGGCCAAGTGCCTGGAGATGGAATTACAGTGGATGGATGTTTGATGGCTAGTATGGATAGGAGGGGCTAAACGGTCTCTTTATGAACGGTTAAAAACTCTGTGACTCCATAACACAGAATGAAAATAACAAGGAACTGCACAGCATGTATTACTGAGTATCACTGAATGTCAGTCCCACAACAAGCTTTACATCAGATGCCCTGAGAGAAAGAGAGACCGAACACTGAACTTTGGCTGAGGCGGGACACTCTCTGTGTCCAAAAGATCAAATAAACAGTCAACACACAGCAGGTTCCAAGTTAGCCTTTAGTCATGAAACATTTCTCTTTGAAAAGCAAATCAATCAAAGCACAGTTAGTGGCAAAGTGGCAATAGGAGTAAAACTACCTCTCCTTCCAGTCCGGCCCAATCATAACTGGGAGCTCCCAATGAAAGGCGATGGTGGAAGGGGCATAACTCAGACATTGATTTCTGCTGATGAGGAGAAGTCTATCTCATGACTCAGAAAATGGCAAACCTAGAAACCAGAGAAATGAAGCTTACAGTGCAGAGCTGGAGAGCAGTGAAGGAGCAGCATATGGACTGCCACCAGTGTCATTCAGAACACTTTCCAATTACAGGAATCCCAATCAGAGAGACAGCACGAGGTTAGACAGAGAGTAAAGCTCCCTCTACACTGTCCCCATTAACACTCCGAGCTCAGGGACAGCATGAGGTTTGATACAGAGTAAAGCTCCCTCTACACCATTCTCCTCAAATACTCTGAGGTCAGGGACAGCACAGGGTTAGATGGAGAGTAAACCTCCCTCTTCACTGTCCCCGTCAAACACACCCAGGACAGGGGCAGCATGGGATTAGATATAGTTCTATATTTGGAGTTGTCTTTTTATGGATGGGCTGCTTCAGGAATCTGACTGGATGTAAAATTGAGGACTTTGATAGGGGAATGGGAGAGCAAAACCAGAATGCAGCAACTGCATGAAAATCAGGCTAAACGTGAGGAAGTTCCTTCCCAAATAGTTTCTCTGAGTGATACAGAGTGAGGCTCCTCACTCCCGGTACCCGTTTTTATTGAACAATGGGGGAGGTTTGTGCGGAGAAGTCAGTAACCCTCCTCCCCTCTCCTCCGGCCGGCCCATCAATCCTCAGGTGTCAGCTCGTCGTCAGAGACGTGGTCAGGGGAGAGTGTGTGCAGGTTGTTAATCCGGACGCTGGTGATGCCAGGGCAGGATACCATGAGGCTGCTGATCCCGGGCAGCGTGACTCCTGTCCCATCGAGGTTCAGCTGACTCACACTGGTCTGGCTGACATGCCTCAGGCCTGGAAAGCAGAGCACACAAAGGGGCATCAGTCAGCTCTGGGAGTCCGAGAGAATCATCAATCCCAGCCTCTGGCCAGTCCAGCAGAGTTCAGGGTGCAGCTTCTATAGCATTGCTAAGATACGGCAGCAGAGGAACTGACAGCAGAACATTTTTGCTAGAAGTAACATGTTCCTACTCTGTACCTCCGTTCTTACACCTTTAATCATTCATCTCACTTGTTCTTCAATGCTGTCACTAGCTTAGGCACTAAAATTCACCCTCTTATGACTCAAAGGGAGGGCCTCCTGTTCTCCATTCTAATTCTTGTTTATTTCATCATTTTCTCCATCTGTCAGTAACTGCAAACAACCTTTTTCTACCAACTCCATCCACATCCTTCCTCATTTAAAGAACACAAGAAACTGAAGCACTAGTAGGCCATTTGGCCCCCTCAGGCCTGCCTTGCCATTTAGCTTTATTCCTCAATCTCCTCTGTTCTAACAGAACCAGCCCCAATATTTATCCAAGTCATTTGATTTCCGTACAGCAGCCTTTTCCCTGTGCTTCTGCACAGACCTCTCTCTTGCTATATACTTCAGAGACTGTGCAACTCAAAACTGCATGCAGTGCTCCAAACACAGCTCACCCCAATCCCCTTCATGGCTCTTTCCAACCCAGGCTCCTGGCTAACTGGCCTTTCCAGGAGTCAGGCAAAATTCCATCAATCTAACCCATCCCTGGTTTCCTGTCAGCATTGAGCAAGTCACCTTACAATGGAACATTATTTCACAGGGTCCGCAACACACAAATCCTTCGATCTGTACAGACTACAAGTTTCAGGCTAAAAGCATTATCCAGATTTAATTACAAATTGCTAAACTACGAAAAATGGGCAACACCACATGAAAGAGCAAAAACTTGAGCCAGTCAGCTTGGATTTTTAAAAAAAGGCAGGTCCAAGCTTGACAAGCCATGGGATTGTCGGGGCAATAAACAGCAAGAAAGTACAGCGCAGATCATGCAGACGGAGCTTCAAAATGTTTGCAACAAGGTCTCCGTCACACAGAATGGGAACATTACAGTAACTGGTTGGTAATAATTGATAGATTTTCAGTCTACAATTCTGACAGTCCCATGATACAAAACTAGAGTAGGTGCTCAATCACTGTGATCCATCTCTACCAGTCAGTGATAGGGTCAGCGCTGAGCTCAGGACACCGACAGTAGCTGGGCCGAATGGGCCGCCTTCTGCACCGTAAATATTGTGTGGGAGAGGAATACAGGAACCCCAGCTGTAACGTCACCTGTTCCTCCTGAGCACAGTGCACTTCTTATTCACTTGCACAATGTGTGTGTGTCACAGACTGTGGGAAATATGGGAACGTGTGAAGTTATGCACTTTGGTAGGAAGAATAGAGACACAGACTATTTTCTAAATGGAGAAAAGCTTCGGAAAGCTGAAGCACAAAGGAGCTTGGGAGTTCTTGTTCAGGATTCTTTTAAGATTAACGTGCAGATTCAGATGGCAGTTAGGAAATCAAATTCAGCATTAATTTCAAGAGGGCTAGAATACAGGAGCAGAGATGTACTGCTGAGGCTGTACAAGGCTCTGGTCAGACTGCATTTGGAATACTGAGCAGTTTTGGGCAACCATATCTAAGGAAGGATGTGCTGGCATTACTGGGGGTCCAGAGGAGGTTTACAAGAATGATCCTGGGGATGAAGGGCTTGTCATAGGAGGAGCAGTTGACGACTCTGGGTCTGTATTGAATGCAGTTTAGAAGGATTGAAACTTACAGAATACTGAGAGGCCTGGATAGAATGGACATGGAGAAGATGCTTCCACTAGTAGGACAGACTAGGACCCGAGAGCACAGCCTCACAGTGAAGGGACGATCCCTTAGAACTGAGATGAGGAGGAATTTCTTCAGCCAGAGGGTGGTGACTGTGTGGAACTCAATGCCACAGATGGCTGTGGAGGCCAAGTCAGTGAGTGCATTTAAGACAGAGGTTCCTGATCAGTCAGGGGATCAAGGGTTTTGGTGAGAACGCAGAACAATGGGGTTGAGAAACATATCAGCCATTCTTGAATGGCAGACCAGACATTATGGTGTGAATGGCCTAATTCTCCTCCTATATCCTATAGGCTTATGGATGTTTGTGTTTACTAGCTCAGTTACAGCAGTTACTACCCGTCCCTAGTTGCCCCTTGAGAAGGTGGGGGTGAGCTGCCTTCTTGAACCACTGCAGTCCACGTGCTGTATGTTGACCCACAATGCCCTTAGGGAGGGAATTCCAGGATTTTGACCCAGTGACAGTGAAGGAACAGCGATATATTTCCAAGTCAGGATTGTGAGTAGCTCAGAGGGGAACTTGCAGGGGGTGGTGTTCCCACATAGCTGCTGCCCTTGTCCTTCTAGACAGTAATGGTTGCGGTTTGGAAGGTGCTGTCTAAGGAGCCTTGGCAAATTTCTGCACTCCATCTTGTCGATAATACATACTGTACCTTGTTTGGTTTGGAGTAAGCGTGTGCATGTGTGAGCACCAATGTTCCCTCAAAGTTGTGCATGTATGGAGCCACTCCAAGAGTCTGTGTACAGTGACAGTGTACAGTGATTATTACAGGCCAGTTAGTCTTCCGTCAGTGGCGGGCAAATTATTGGAAAGGGCTCGGACAGATAGGATTTATGATCACTTGAAAAGGCACAGTTTGATTCGTGATAGTCAGCATGGATTTGTGAGGGGTAGATCATGCCTCACAAACGTTATTGAATTCTTTCAAGAGGTGACCACATACGTAGATGAAGGTAGAGCAGTGGATGTGGTATACATGGATTTAAGTAAGGCATTTGATAAGGTTCCCCATGGTACGCTCATGCAGAAAGTAAGGATGCATGTGATAGGGGGAAATGTGGCAGATTGGATTCAGAATTGGCTGACCCTTAGAAGACAAAAGGGTGGTAGTGGACGGAAAATATTCAACATGGTGCTCAGTTACAAGTGGTGTACCACAAGGATCTGTTCTGGGTCCTCTTCTATTTGTTATTCTTGTAAATGATTTGGATGAAGGAGTGGAAGGGTGGATTAGTAAGTTCACGGACAATACGAAGGTGGGTCGCGTTGTGGACAGTGCGGAGGGCTGTTCTAGGTTACAAAGGGACATTGATAGGATGCAGAGCTGGGCTGAGAAGTGGCAGATGGAGTTTAACCCTGAAAAGTGTGAGGTGATTCATTTTGGAAAGACAAACTTGAAAGCAGAATACAGGGTTAATGGAAAGATTTTTGGCAGTGTGGAGGAGCGGAAGGATCTTGGGGTACATGTCCACAGTTCCCTGAAAGCTGCCACCCAGGTGGATAGAGTTGTTAAGAAGGCGTATGGTGTATTAGCTTTCATTAATAGAGGGATTGAGTTCAAGAGCCGTGAAGTTATGCTCCAGCTATACAAAAGCCTGGTTCGGCCACGTCTGGAGTATTGTGTCCAGTTCCAGTTGCCTCATTACAGGAAAGATGCGGAAGTGTTGGAAAAGGTGCAGAGGAGATTTACCAGGATGTTGCCTGGAATGGAGGGAAGGTCTTATGAGGAAAGGTTGAGAGAGCTAGGGCTTTTCTCTTTAGAACGACGAAGGATGAGAAGTGACTTGATAGAGGTGTACAAAATGATCAGAGGTATACAAAATGATCAGAGGTATAGATAGAGTAGACAGCCAGAGACTTTTTCCTAGGGTGGAGGTAGCTATTACAAGGGGGCATAGTTTTAAAGTGAGTGGAGCTAGATACAGGGGAGGCATAGGAGGTAGGTTCTTTATTCAGAGAGTGGTAGGGGCATGGAATGCATTGCCAGAGAGGGTAGTAGAGTCGGCCTCATTAGGGACATTTAAGCAGCTATTAGATAGGCATATGGATGATAGTATAAGGTAGGGGTGGAGGTTAGATAGACCGTAGGATTAGCGTAAAAGTTCGGCACAACATCGTGGGCCGAAGGGCCTGTACTGTGCTGTACTGTTCTATGTTCTGTGTTCTATGTGACCAGCAAGTTCTGGAAGTTCATGCTGAGCATGGACTCGAAGTCCACATTGAAGAAAAACAATTTAGTGGGAATGCTTGTGTGTGTGTGAGAAAGTCTATGTGTGTGAGTGAGAGAGAGCGTGTGTGTGAGTGAGAGAGAGCGTGTGTGTGAGTGAGCGAGCGCACGCGTGTGTGTGTGCGAGCGCACGCGTGTGTGTGTGCG